TTAGCGGCTACATTGCGGTGTGGCTTTAATTCTATTAAACTCCAGAAGTGTTATTCTCACAGTTACTCATTTGAAAGAAGGAATGAACAGGCAGGGAAAGGATGCCTAACAATAGGAAGGGTTCATATTTAAAAACAGTACAAGTTAGAAATCTGTGTACTCCTAGTTCCTGGTTTTATAACTCCACCACCAAGTGCATTCTTGCTGATAATTTGTTTGCGAAAGTTGGCTCAGTCCAGTAAACCACGTCCATTTCGGTCCTAAATATCTGGAAAATTATGACTGACATTCAGCCTTGAATTAGGTTTCAATGACACACAAGGCAGTACAGTCATGCACACACTGCCGTGGTATCCCCAGCGCCGACAGCGGACAATATCAGTGTAAATGATCAGTTTGGTGAGGTAGATAGTTTAAGGAGTGTTACGGTAAACGTGAGACAAAGATGATTCCACCCTTTCACTTATGAACGTCAGTATTGGTGAGCAAGATGTTTAAGAACTGCTGATGGAAACACTGTGTTCTGCGGACATCTGTCGACCGACATCGCAGATGAAGAAGGTTTCGTAGCTGGTTTATCTCACCGAGGATCAACTATTAGCATTGTGGGAATTTTGCTGAGCCATGATTTTCTAGACGAGCGGTCTTCCTTGGGAAGCTATGAGTAAAATCATGCCATATTTGTACAAAATACTAAAAACGCGGCATTTATTCAAGCAATTGTTATGCTTTATTTTGATTGAATAAAATCTGACTTCTAACTATAAATTTAAGGCCACGGTAACGTTTATACCCCGTCTCTGATAAGTTGGTTACTTTTTCTGAGTGTGTTGCCTCTTGAGGGCGAAGAAACACTACTCCCTGGCCTTAGACCTTTGTAGGTACGAGGACTTTATACGGTGACCAAAATCAGTCGTATAAATTATGTTCTTTTGAAGGGAATTTCCAGCTGAATTTGCTTTAGAGAGAAAATCCTGCAACTGCTTAAAAAATCAGGAATCTTCTGCAGGGCCACATTCTTGGAGGTGATATTTTGACGACCTATCAAGGATATCTTAATAAAAAAAATCTGCTTCTTGTGGTTGTCTGACAGTAAATCTCTGCTTTATCGATTTTTTGAAAAGGCTAAAATAAAGATTTCACTTGCCTCAAATAAGGAAACAAGAACCGACGATTGATGCTGGTTTACGCTATAATTTGATGTTAAACTTTGGTCAGCTGTCCGAAAGTTATTACGATTGTGACGACTGTTTTAGGGAACTTATGCCGAAAATTTATTGACAATTTTTTAATAACCCCTCTCCAGACGATGACGACTTGAGCTCTTGTTCAGTGCCAACTTTGAAAACTAAACAAGTACATAAGCATGATCCAAACAGGAGCGAAGTTCATGAACATCACTTAGTCCCACAATTGCCTTGGGTTGCATACAGAATCTAGCCAAACCGCTTTTACTGTCATTCATCCAGTTTCCGATGATCACTACAACGATACCACCACGCAAAAGTATGGACTTTACCCTGTATTATTTTTACTACAAAAAGAAACCTAACACTGCTTTGTTTTTTGATGATTCAGTAGGGTGAAACACCGAGAGAAGTTCAAATTATTTTGGCCTAAATGGGAAACCCAACTCATCCTCTTGATTATGATAGAACGAAAGTGTTCCGCGTAGAAAATGCAAGGTACTCACAATGAGCAACTAAGCAGCGCAAACGTATTCGCCAAAGTGGAAATTTCATATTGAATTCACTTAATCTTGACGCGTCTGTTGCTCCTGAAGAGGTCTACGATTGGTGCCCAAAGTTTTTGGAAAAGAAACTTGTTACCTCGGGATGGCCAGTACCTGGTGTGACTGAATAAATTGTTATACACCAAATCTGACATAATGGTTGCAGACAGATTGACTGCTATGCAGTGACTAGGAGAAAGTCAAAGGGAGGGGGGATTTTTTGGAGGGATTAGTGTGTGAAAAGCTTTTCCTTAGGAAGAACGTCATCATCATCAAAGACAGCAACATCAGTGTTGCCACTGATGCTTCACTGCCGTACAACCATAAGGTTTGTCTAGTTATATATATATATAATTGCATTAAAATCCCTACAGAGAAGAGAAAAAGAGTGGGTGAGAGAGGGGACCTAGTGCTGGCCTATGTCAAGCATACTGAGGTGCCTACACCTCCAACCGCTCAATCAGACAATCTGGAAAGAAACTGACAGCACGAACGCCACTGACATCGATTAGCTGCCATTTCTTGTAACGTCTCCAAACAAGCACAGACGAGGTCACAGAGACCCCATCCTGGAAGTCGCATAACACCAACAACACCCAAACTCCTCGTGATCTGGACTCGGATAACGTACGCGGAACTGACCAAGCATTCTTTGAAAATGCTGCATAGCACAAACCCAACTCACAGACGGTCTAATTTTGGCAAGAATCTTAGGCTAAGCAGTGACGACATGCTCAAGAATGTCCTGTTAGGTCTCCAACCCGGTGCAGAAAAGCTCGTGAACCTCAGCAAAGAGCACATGTTACGAAGGCAAGAGTTGCACATAGGTACTACTAGTCCAAAGGGCATGCACCTTCATTTTTCGATTTTGCATTGCTGGCTTGTTACTGAATGCTCGTTCACACAGTTTGGACGTGCCGCGCCCAGCTAACTTTTGTTATACTGTGAGTACATTGGTAGCCAGACGTTCGGCAACAAAGACAAGTGAGTGGTATCTTGTATCAAAGCGGGTTTCAGGTTTACTTGCAATGGTACTTTTGCGGCCTCAACCCATAGAGGACGCAATTTTTCCGGGGGGTGGGGTGTACTGGAAGAAACATTGTCCTCAAGCTCAGAGCGGTTGCTGGTCCTTCAGCGGTAGCTAACTTAAAGCTACTTGAGTAGATGACTGTGAAGTGTTTTTTGGGTCTCCCTACATCTGGTGACAGCCACTCTACTTATCAAAGTCGTCTAGTATTAAGTGCTTGGTACCCCAAAACCTTGCCTTCAACAGGTGCTGTACATGAACACGAATGAGCAACATTATGTAAGCGTTGTTTATGCTCCTATGGAACTAAATTTCCAGTTGTGTTGTTCCCCCAAACTAGCGAAAGTTCCCAAAGAGTGGTGTCGTGAAATCTCCATTCCGAAAATGACTGTATTAACTTTCTAGAACGGATTTTACCGTATTACTCCGCTCATCAGGACAGATTCAATTCGTCTTTTGGACTAAGTTGAACCCCATTCTTTTCACGGTGCGCACTGAGTCTATGTGACCACGACTTCTTATCGACCTGTCATTGCAACAAGCAACGGGGTCACTACTCTGGAGAATGATTTATAGCTGCCACCTGATGGACGCTATAAGCCCAAATTACTCTGGTGTACATAAAAGGCCCATATTAATCCGTTTTACTGCACTAGGTTTGATGAAACCCAGACTGTACAATACAGTAGAGAGAAAGCTACTGGTTAATTGATAGCTGGAGTAGCTAAAACACCGCCTGCTTTGAGTAAGATCAGCAAAAGAAACTAGACATAACTGCGACAAAGTCATAAAAATGTCCTGAAGCAATAGAACAGACATGGGAGAGTTGGATTTAAATACTGATTTAGGTTCTGGTACCTTGGCATAATAGATTATTGATCGCGTTTTTACATCTCTTGCACACATGAGAACGCGAATATTGAAAATCCATTAGTAAAGTGAGCACAACTACGAACTCAGTGTAAACCAAGCAGTGAGGTTTCCGGTATTTGATTCAGTTGAAATAGTACCGAAGCCAGAGTTTTATTATAATCCGACATTCGACAGTGAAAATAAAGTTCCCTTCAGCGACACAACTAAACCATTCTTAGGATGACTGTGTAACAAGACCAGCAAACTTGTAAGGCAATTCAGTTACCCATAACCCTTCGTCGATCACATAAGTAGGTCGGCAAATTCTCATTTCATGTTTGCGAGCGCAGCGTAATTTTCCCTACTGAATCTTTAATGCAATGAATTTGACCTAACCTGACATGTATGGCCTTGTCAAATGGTAGAAAGTCAGAATCAAATGATGTGGTGACTGCATTAAGAACTAGTCAGGACAGACGGTTGGAGAAGATATTTCCATCAGACACATGAGAAAAACAAACAGCAGAACGTGGCAAGAATGGATTTGAAATTGTCAAAGTTTTGAGACGGGAACTACTGTTTATGCCATAGCGATTGGTGGTCGAGTTGTTGGAAATCATCAAGCATCCAAGTGTGAAAAGAACAAAAAGTGCAGAATTGGCACAAGGTCAGAGAAAGGTTCTGAGTCTGAGTCGAGCTGACAGGTGGGGATGTGTGGTAAAGTGGACCAGTTCGACCAAAAATTCACCTAACCCCCCTAAGCAAATTGTAGTAATACTCAGTAACTCACAGAGACCAATAAAATTTGTAAATGACATCTAACAAGAGTCATTAGATGAAGGACTCGGAGTCTGACCAAAATTATCTTAAATCTTCCCAACTAATCAAACGTAAAATTAAATATCCGAAATAAGCGACAACCACTTTTAATCGACTGTGAACACTGATCCCGTGCGATATTCCGAAGCGATCTTGCGGGATGTTTTCAAACTCAGCCAACCTGACAGCCTATTGCCTTGCCGTGAAAAACCGAAATCTGACTGTTCAGCTATCAATCCTCTGAATGTTTATCAAACGCTTCCAACAAATTCATATTTTCTTAACTCCCCAGCACTTACAGTCAAACTATTTACATCAGCTGAACTAATTAATTACTCTGAGCAAGCGCTCAAAGTTTCATTCACATTTTATTTGAAATAGTAGCCACTTCTTTGGCCACCATACTCCCTAACACGCTCTATTAGACGCCTATTTATCTGTAACACAAACAACTTCCATTTTAAGCAATTTTTCTTTCCAAACTGCTATGAGTTATCAACATATTCACCCGTATTCAACTAGAAAGCAGCAAATTTCTCGCTAAGCACTAGCAACTCAGGATCAACTTACTTTTATGTTGTCGAAATTGCCTTCATAATCCAGTAGGTCTTTCTGAGGACTTTCAAAGCCCAGCTGGTCGGTAAAGCGTGCAGTTGACGCTAAAGTTTATTTAGAGGACAGATGGTTGAAACCCAGAGATTTGAACTTACCCAAATTTACATGGGACAGCACGAGGAGAGAAGTAATTAGGAATGCGGTCAGAGGGAGCATTATTTCGGTCTCGAGCGTTGCCGAACGACACTATTGTAAATGGAACCAGAGCGGATTAAATAACAAATCTCCTGGACCGTTTTTTATCATGATGAGGGCCTGATTGGTGTTTGGAGCGTTTTTCCCATTGGCTCTTTTTTACTGCTCATCGCGCGAGAAAATTATTGGACTAAATACGTTTATCCACGTAAGCAACCGCCTGTAGGTGGAACCAATCTGTTTTTGGTCAGTAGGATGTAAATGTACTTAGAAAACAGACCCAGAATTTTCAATGTGTGTCAAGTGGGCATGACAAAGTTTTTGGGCCACACTATCCCATCTTCCAAACGAGAAGAATTTCCCTCATGCATTCTGATCATTTGTTCGAACCTTCAGCAGTTTCTAAGGCACACTTTGGATATTTTTCTTGCGTGTTTTCTTTCATTCTTGTTTTAAAGCAGTTTCTGTTTGAAATTTCTGAGCACATAGGTTCCCAGTAGGAGCAAGAAGAGGACCATTTCGGTACCTTCTGCCGTTGTGAAGTATCACATCCTGTAGCGGTTAGAGTCACGGAAATTTGTTACAATATCTTGGTTTGAGGGTTGTAACGCAGTCGATGACGCTGAATTACTCTTTCGACTGCGTGAGAAAAGTGCGAATTAAAGTAGAATTTATAAAGGGATCGAGTAAAATTGCATTGTGACCGCCAAACAAAAAGCCACAAACAACTCAGCTGGGTGGAAACAAGGAATTTATCAATGAAATGCACTACTCATTTGCAAACAAATTTGGTCCCGGGAGACACTCACCTAGTTGAATCTCTCGTTTGTAATGTTTTCAGGAGACTGCGCCGACCTGATGAGCCCCAAGAATAGCGAAACCGTTGATGGGCTGTCGAAGAATTTTCAGCAACCTTATGAGTAGTGCGTTACGTATAGGAATTAAATCGAGTCCATAAACAATGATATAGCGTTGCTAATCTTGGAATCGGATTTGTGCTGGCTATATCCAGCAACGGTGATGGGATGGAGTTTTTTGTTGGCTGACTAAGAGCGCTGACGCTTAGAAAAATAGCTTCGTCTATAGGTTATTGTTCATCTGAACCCGTAAGGAATAGATGAGTCGGTAATACCAACAGTTAGTAAAGAAGCTCATATGAACATCTGGCGTCAATCCAGTCCACAGCTAGAGACAGACCGGAGGATTTATTGTTTCGAAAAATAGCATTCATTCACCGAAAATTGCTTCTATTTTGTTCGCGTGAAGGTTCTGATCTCGATGTGTTTGAGAACATGCTTGCGATTACGACTCGGTGAACAAAGACGTGATCAGTCATCATTCCAACATTTAGTTCTCAGCCTTTTGGGAACAAAAGTGAAGAAAGATCTCTCGAAGTGCTATCTGACCGCTCATCTGAGACATGACAACAATATCAAACTTTAGGTGCAGGATGCCCGATTAACACGTTAGAAAACGTTACCAGTGTAACGGCGACACTACTGATTTGAGGCACGCGAGTAGTATGTTCTCTCGTAAATCCGCTTCGCGTGTCATCAAAAGTTAGATATATTACGGAATTTGTGGAGTCGCTTTGTAGCATTTGCTTGCATTCGAGTACCAGTCATTGAATATCCAGAAAAGTTTAGGAAGACGCGTTCAATGAGAAGATGGATATTCAGTTTTGTAAACAAGATGCATATTGGAGTTGGTGATTCCCTAATAAACAGCTCTGCAGCGAAGGCCTTCTTCATTTCACCGGTACGATGATAATCTAGAGCGGCTTCAAACCAAACACAAGTATCAATAGATATTTTGAATCTCTTTAACGGTAAGAAGAAAAGTGTACCCCTTCGAAACTGGCTTTCATGTCCCATCACGAAGTATTTATGTCGAGACAAAACATTAGAACCTATAAAACTGTGTGGAAGTCATTAGGGTAGTTTGTTTATCCTCATAACAAAAAGGGTAGAAAACTCATACGGTATCACTGGAATCAAAAAGGGTCTCCAATGGGTCTCCCCTTTATGAAAGTATTCAACTTGATGCAGATGAGAGGTCTAATTAAGTCTCCTATTAGCGCCAAATTAGTCTGGAAATTAATGTATTCCGTCGGTAAATCGATGGACGCTCTGGAACAACGCTTATCTATCTATCTATCTATCTATCTATCAATCTATCTATCTATCTACTATCTATCTATCTATCTATCTATCTATCTATCTATCTATCTATCTATCTATCTATCTATCTATCTATCTATCTATCTATCTATCTATCTATCTATCTATCTATCTATCTATCTATCTATCTATCTATCTATCTATCTATCTATCTATCTATCTATCTATCTATCTATCTATCTATCTATCTATCTATCTATCTATCTATCTATCTATCTATCTATCTATCTATCTATCTATCTATCTATCTATCTATCTATCTATCTATCTATCTATCTATCTATCTATCTATCTATTTATCTATCTATCTATCTACTGACACTGGGACTTTTCGACTGCACAAGTCGGGGCCCAGGAGGCGGTCCACCATTTTCTGCTCCCGTATGCACTTTTAATCACCTGGAAATCTGAACTCGCCTACGAAGCTTTTGGAAATTCGAAAGTTCATTTAGGTTAATATTCAGATCATTTATTTGATTGTACCGAGGATTATACGTACCATCATATTAGGAAATTTAACAGGGTGATTCAGACAACATAGTTAGCTGACAGTTCATAAAGATGACCAAGGGACATTAGACCGCACGCAACTGTTCAACCACAGCAGTGATCGTTTTTATTTTTACATAGGGGTAATTTGCTACTCTGTAATGCATTCGTTTTGACGTTTCCTTCTAAGAGCTCCGTGGAGTAGTGTTGTAATTTTTATCTCAAGTCATAAATTGGATCAATTCCTTGACTTTCTTGCTCCTTTCTTGCCAAGAATTCTGAGGATATATCTCCAGGTCTTAGCTGAAAATAATCACTTAGCTGACTGCCAAACTTTTTCTACCGGGAGTTACTGTGGAACTCCCACTTCTGATGATAGTGGCGTTGAGCGCAGATGATACACTAGATATGGTAATGGTGATGATAAGGCTTGTAATGGAGAATGTGATTAAACTCCCTATTATACGTACATCCAACGATGCATCACTGTCACTCTTTGCATCAGTGTTTGCGTCATCTGACCCCTGAGACACACAATCACAAGCATGCCTGGATATTTTAGACAAACCATCGCATGCGTCATCTATACTCAATAATCTCTAAAAATGTGTATCATTATTGCGAATTATCAAACAATGAATGCACGTCTTCCTTTCGTCTTCTCTTCCCTTGTCGCAGTTACCTTCACTTGAGGACCAAGTGTCAACTGATCATGTTTCTTCCAGAGCCTCGCCGAGACAGACCAACAGAAATATACCCTCGTTCGTCCACTCATGCATGCGAAACACGCCACTGTCTTTTAAACCAAACAAGTGTGTTCAGCCGTGGAAGTTTCAGGACTTGATTGCATACACCTCTCCATAACCGATGACTTGCAGCGGCTATACCTAATACATCACGGACTTACTGTCCATCCATACGTCAGGCGAATTGTTTGACAACATAAAAGGCTATGAAGAAAGCTATGCGTTAAAATTTTTCGTATGTGTGTTTCTGTCTAACTGTGAAATACGCTTGGTTGCGTGAAGTTTACATATATCTGGTGGATGAAAAAGAAAGCCTACGGTTTATTTGACAGAGCGTCTTCTCGCATTTTTCACTAGTGCTAGTAAGGGGAATCCATCTGACGGAGACATTTTGCCCATTGGTTTGCTGTGTGTAGCTCAGTATCCCACCGATCTTTTTGCTAATCCGCTGTTGCATTGTCCCGGCTATTTATTTATTTATTTATTTATTTATTTATTTATTTATTTAGCTGGGTTCTTTCACTTAAAAAAAGACAACCGTGCAGCGGCTCCTAACGGCTAGCACATCCTAACATGCGAAGCAGGACGTATTCATGTGAGTAGTGCCGTCGGCTTTCTACCAACTTTGTGCTGTTTATTAGGCCTCACCAACTAGACAGCGAGGGGCGTCCAGTGGTTGGCCGCCTGACCAATATATTCTCCAATCGCGAACTGTACGTATAATATTTAGTTCAGTGGATGTACGGATGGTCACCCGTATGCACAGACCTCGGCTGGAAAACGCGCACGCGGGGACACGTGAGGTCGCATGTACTGAAGTTTTAGATTCCTCACTTCAAATTCATTTGACATGGTAAAACATTTGTTTTGATTTGAATCGCATCATAACTTTTATTTCTTACGGATACGTCCAGATGCCTGGAGGCATCACAAACGAGAGATTCAGCTGGGTCCCAGGTGAGTCTCTCTCAATGCCAAATTTGTTTGCAAAGGAGTTTATTTCGCCAATTCCTATAGAGATGTATTATAAATCTCATCGAAACATGCTGCTACGATTTGGAGTCACCTTAATTCGAAAACATTATAGAAAGGATCAAAACAAGAAATGCATATTTGGTCAAAATATTGTAGAGTTTTGCCAACTGTTGGTCACTGTGACACCTAATCGGTAGTACACTTTGACCATAGCCTACAGCATGTGCGCTATCTGATCATTACACCACTACCTCTGATAACCGCTTTCCGTGTGTCTGCTGAATTCTCAGTTTAGCTGAGTAACGTCGGAACTATAAGAAACTGAGATAAACGGTCCCACTTATTTGATCACGTGTGTGAGGATGGTCTGCAATTTGACCGTTTGTGTGCACTTTCTTAGCTTCTGTTTGTCATGGCAGCTGGGCATATTTACAGCCATTCCTCGACTGCTGCGGATGTCACTCAATGAGGAGATTTCCACCAGTTTTCAAGAGATTATTCAGCACTCCATTTTGCAGAACGCTCCAACCACAAACAGTGTTGGTAGCCGTTTTCAGCTGAACTCATCATTTCTGATCTTGGCGCTCCCCGCCGACAAGAGCTCCTTGAACTCTCAAGAGACCTGTGGCAACCGCTAAGCTGACATGTCTT